CTGTTCCCGATCCCGATCCCGCTGTTCCCGACCCTGATCCCGCTGTTCCGATCCCAATCCCGCTGTTCCCGACCCCGATCCCGCTGTTCCCGACCCCGATCCCGCTGTTCCCGGTCCCAATCCCGCTGTTCCCGACCCCAATCCCGCTGTTCCCGGCCCCAATCCCGCTGTTCCCGGCCCCAATCCCGCTGTTCCCGACCCCAATCCCGCTGTTCCTGATCCCAATCCCGCTGTTCCCGACCCCAATCCCGCTGTTCCGATCCCAATCCCGCTGTTCCCGACCCCGATCCCGCTGCTCCTGGGCCCAGCAGTGTTTGGGATGAGCCAGAAGGACCCGAGGCTGGGAATCACCACTGAAATTCCCATTCCATGGTCCTGCAAGGACCTGAGGCCAGGAATCCCCACTGAAATCCCCATTCCAAGATCCTGGAAGGACCCAAGGACACGGATCTGCACTGACAGCTCCATTCCTCAATCCTGCAAGGACCCGAGGCCATGGATCAGCATTGACACCCCCTTTTCATGATGCTGCAAGGACCCGAGGCCATGGATCTGCACTGACAGCCATTCCTCAATCCTGCAAGGACCTGAGGAGACAGATCAGCATTGACACCTTCTCCACAACCCTGCAAGGACCCGAGGCTGGGAATCAGCATTGACACCCCTATTCCAAGATCCTGCAAGGACCCAAGGCCATGGATCAGCACTGACAGCCCATTCCTCAAACCTGCAAGGACCTGAGCACATAGATCATCACTGACAGCCAACATCCCAAGATCCTGGAAGGACCCAAGGACACGGATCAGCAATGACAGCCCCATTCCTCAACCCTGCAAGGACCTGAGGACACGGATCAGGAATGACACTCTCTCCACAATGCTGCAAGGACCCAAGTCTGGGAATCACCAGTGACACCCCTTCTTCATGATGCTGCAAGGACCCAAGGCCATGGATCTGCACTGACAGCCCATTCCTCAACCCTGCAAGGACCCAAAGCCACGGATCAGCATTGACACCTTCTCCACAACGCTGCAAGGACCCGAGGCTGGCAATCACCATTGAAATCCCCATTCCTCAATCCTGCAAGGACCCGAGGCCATGGATCAGCACTGACAACCTCTCCACAGCACTAGAAGGACCCAAGTCTGGCAATCACCAGTGACACCCCCATTCCATAATCCTGGAAGGACCCGAGGCTCGGAATGGTCATTGACACCGGCATTCCAAGACCCTGAAAGGACCTGAACGCATGGATCAGCATTGACACCCCCATTCCATGATCCTGGAAGGACCCGAGGCTCGGAATGGTCATTGACACCTGCATTCCAAGACCCTGAAAAGACCTGAACACATGGATCAGCATTGACACTGATCATTCCGTGATCCTGCAAGGACCCAAGGCCATGGATCAGCACTGGCATCCTCTCCACAACCCTGAAAGGACCTGAACACACGCATCATCACTGAAAGCCCCATTCTGTAAGCCTGGAAGGACCTAAGGACATGGATCAGCATTGACAGCCCCATTCCTCAACCCTGCAAGGACCCAAGGCTGGGAATCACCACTGACACCCCCTTTCCATGATCCTGCAAGGACCCAAGGCCGTGAATCAATACTGACACCTTCTCCACAACCCTGAAAAGACCCGAGGTTGGGAATCACCATTGACACCCCTAT